TTCTACTGAATGAGATTTTTCCAGGAAAGCAGTAAACGGAAAGAAAAAAGAATTATTAGGGTTTTTCTTCCCACTAGGGCACTAAGCCATAGCCTAAGTCCATGATCCACTTTACCACAGCTCCTCAGACTCTTGCCACAACCATACTTAAATTCTTTAAGCTCTACTCAAGTCAGTACAGACGGAATGCTTGTGGTTAAAATTCCAATTGCAAAATAAAATAGATCTTCTGGCTTCAAATAAAAGGAAATGTTACACCTCACTGCTAAACACACACCTTTTTTTCCTCCTTATTGAAAAGTAATGTATGTTTATTAGGAAATACGAATAGGAAAAAAATGAGAAAAATAAAAGCATAAATCTCCAACTAATTAGATTAATACTGGTCAATATTTTGAGATGTAGCCACTCAGCCTTTTTTCCCATACATACATATATTTATGTGGATATCAAAGATTATCATTAAAAAAATTATTTTAAAGCCTCAGGTTTTTTTTTTTTTGGTGGTGATTTTTTATTTGTTTCCTTTCCTCCCTACATTGCTATTCTTACAGAGCACTCTTTTTATTAGGAACAGGTAAAACTGCATGAGTTAAAACTCCCTTTGTGTAGACATGCAGCTCTTTGTACTTTAAGTTTGCATAGTGAAGTGTGCAAACTAGGCAACCAAGGTTATGGGTGTGTTTTGAAATGAACACATCAATTATTTGGACACTGCTATGCTGGTGTTTAGCCACTGGGCAGGTTGTTCCTCAAGTTCAAATTTCCTCAGCAGATAGATATTCAACAAGCACCTTATATAACCACTATTAATCAGGTCATATCAGGGTCAGAACCTCTATTTTAATTTATATTACTGTCTACTTAGATATCTGTATTCTCTAGTGTAACTTAATAAGGAGACTCTCTTACTGTTGTCTATGTAATGGTATAAAACAGATGAATGGTGTGATGAAGTCATTTTACTTTGTATGTACAAAAAGTACACATTATGGGAAAGATAGCTTCCTCATTCTCAGAGAAATCTTCTGAGGGTCTGAGACTCTATTTCATCACTAAACACTGTCCTTCTATGTGCTCCCCGTGATGCTAAGCAAACAAAAGCACCCAAGAGATGTGTCCCATCTGGTAGTCAATATATGCCATTTTGGATATCTGCTGCTGTGAAACAAACCATCCCCAAATTAGTGGCTGAAAGCAATTTACTATGATCTCTCAGTTCTCTGGTTTGACTTCTGGGCAGGCTTCTGTTGTCTTGCTTGCAGTTGTAGCTGCAGTCTAGGCAGGCTGGCAGGTTTCCAAGATGGTTTCTTCATTTACATGTCTAGTGCCTATGTTCATATATGCTCTCCACTCAGATTCATCCTGCATGGCTTCCTTTTCTACCAAGGTAGTCAGACTTATAACATAATGGCTAACTCCCAAAGTTATAAAATTGAAAGCAGTCAGGCCTTTTATAAAAGGCTTAGACTGAGATTGGAACAGTGGCACTGAAAGGCTACTTCTGTAAATCGAAGCAAGTCCCAGTGCCAGCCTTGAACTACACACACAGCTCTGGATTGGGTGGGTACCCTCTTTAGAAACTTGTTTCTGAATAGTCTAACAAAGTAGAATTTCCAGTATATTTCCAAAAGACTATCTTCTGACTCCCATATGGAATATAAGTGAGGGGAAGTGTTAGTAAGAAGGAGAAGCTCTGAACTAATGGCAAATTTTGAAGTAGTTGGCACATTACAGCAATAGAAAGGGGAACAATGGGTTAATGTTAACTATTATCATCCAAAGGCCCTCAGAAGCCTTCTTTTGATGATGTTCTTTGAGATTTTGGATCAAGGAATCACGGTTTAGACTGATCTCAAGCATGCATGGAGGGCTGTCTTTTCAAAGACAGTAAAAAAAAAAAAAATAGCCAACAAATTGAGGAGATATTAAAACTGTAAGTGGGGAGGTAAGTATCTCAGCAGTAGAGCACTTGTCTAACACATGTAAAATCCTAGGTTTGATACTAGCATGAGCAAACAAACCAACCCCCCCCCCATTCTTTTGTATGTGTGAAAGCCTAGCAGTAAATGGGAAAGAAAAAAAAAAAAGCTACTTCTTCCTCCTCTGTTTTCCTGATGCTTCTCAACATACAGGAGCACAACTTGACTCCACAGCACTAGTGGCAAGTTTAGATGGCAATGTATCAGTCTGGGCTTTCACAGGAAGGACAACTGTTTTTCAGAGTCTACAGACTGAAAACCTTGACATGGGTGGTCTGAGACTGAGATTCCCTTTTCTTATGCTGAACCACCGTTCAAAGAGCTTTTCTTCTTCTTTTTTTGGGGGGGGTCCAGTAGTGGGGCCTGAACTCTGGGCCTGGGCGCTGTCCCTCAGCTCCTCAGCTCAAGGCTAACATTCTACCACTTGAGCCACAGCGCCACTTCCAGCTTTTTTCTTTTTGCTTATGTGGTGCTGAGGAATTGAACCCAGGGCCTCAGGCATGCAAGGCAAGCGCTCTACCACTGAGCCACCTTCCCAGCCCGTAGTAATTTTTTCTTTAACATGTTCAGATTCTTATATTGCTCTTTTCCCTTTGTACTCTTTGGGTGCATGAAATAATATACTCCCAGCAAATTGCAGATTTATAAAGATAATGGTTATTTCATCCAATAGAAATTTTTGTCTTCTAACAAGATAATATCAAGCCACAGTAGAAAAAAAATATATCAAGTACTAAAAAAGGTACAAAAAACAAAAACAAAAACCTTCAGAGCAGTGTCAAAGTGATTTAGGTATCTTTTACCCCCTAGGGTTCATTGTGAATCTTTCTGATGTTGTAGTTTTATTGTTGTTGTTGTTGTTTGTGCCCATCCTGGGGCTTAAGCTCAAGAATAGGCCCTGTCTCCACTTCTGGCTTTTAAAACAATAGTCTCACAGACTTGGATTGGGGGGGGGGGGGGTGGGAGGAGAGGGGCAGCAAAGGTAGACTTTGAACTTTTATTCTCAGATTTCAGCCTCCTGAATAGCTAGGATTACACAGGCATGAGCCACCAAGGCCTGGCTAATGTTGCAGTTTTAATAAGTGACCTAAATTGTTAACCCATACTTTTGAGTACTTCTTTAATGCAGAAAAAACATTTCATTATAATATTTCTGTCTCTTTTGTGTCAAGTTCTTCATAAAATAAGTTCTCCCAAACTTATTTTTAGGGTATAGATCATTTTGTAGGATTTAAAGATTTAATTACGGTTGAAGAAGCTTGCTTCCATCACAAGTAATTAATTTAGGCTCCACTTATCTCGAGGAATATATGTACATATAAATTTACAAGTAAATCCTGGGAGTGTCAAATTATGCAACTAAGTGAAAGTAAGTCTCTCCTCCCTCTCCCTCCCACCACCTCCACTCTGTCTTCCATTGCTTTTAAATAGTATCAAGGAACTAGAAACTGCAAGTCAGGTTTGTGAGTTTAGGTTGATAATGGTAACTCTCCAAATCATTTCCTTTCCTCTTTAAACTCTTAAAAATTTGCAAAATTTGTTTTCATTTCCTAAAATTTGTGGTGGGCAATAGTTTTAAAAATGTTTTAAATGTAGTAAGTCATATAAAATATTCATCGTAGATTTAAAACAGACTCCCTTAAGGGGAGTGAGTTTGATGAGTGCATTGTATGCAGATATGGACATGTCAAAATGAAACCCCCTTTATAACTGTTGATGCTATTAAAAATGTGGGAAAAATAAAATACACCTAAATACACATCCTTTTTTCTTTGTCTTTTGGTCGGTCGTGGGGCTTGAACTCTGGGCCTGGGTGCTGTCCCTCGGCTCTTCAGCTCAAAGCTAGCGCTCTACCACTTGAGCCACGGTGCCACTTCCGGTTTTCTGGTGGTTAATTGAAGATAGTCTCACAGACTTTCCTACCCGGGCTGGCTTTGAACCTCCATCCTCCCATCTCAGCCTTCGGGGTAGGTAGGATTACAGGCGTGAGCCACCAGCGCCCGGCCTAACACACATTCTTAAAACAACAAAACCCATGGTTTTACAACTATCAACATTTCAGCAAGCATCCTTCAACGACGCTGCGAGTTCCCACACAATCAGCCGACGCGTGTTAGGTTCTTCTCTTGCGGGAAGGTCACCTCGGGTATGTGTGGAGTCTTAGATCCTAAGCCCGCGGCAGAGGCAGGAGGACTGCAGGTGGACACAGCAGACCCTCTCTGGAAGGACCGGAGCCGGGTGGGGCTCACATGGCCACGCGTCCCTCGGTTTAAACTCTAGAACTGCCGGCAGTAGCCACAGTGGCGCGAGTCCCGAGAAGGAACTGGAAAAGGCGACAGCACCTCGTATTGCACCCTGCTTTGGTGCAGCCCCCTCGCGTGTCCGTCCTCCCGGGGCCCTCGCCGGGCGGCACTGGCGGGCCCACGGCCTCCTCTGTGCGTCCGTGGCGGGCGCGTGGGAGTGAGCGAGGGCGGCCGGGGTGCGGCGCGCAGGGGCTCCCAGCGCGACCCGCACCTCCGGCCGGGGCCCGAGGGCCAGAGGCCAGCGCGCAGCTCGCGCCGGCCGGGGCCCTGGGCTCCCCCCTCCGCCGGAGCTGGCGCCACTCGCGGCCGCGGCAGGGAGATAAAGCTTGGGGCGAGGCTCCGCAACTCCAAATCAAAGCTCATGGGGCTCAAGTCCGGGGCTCCCGGCGCGTTTGTTTAACTGTTTAAACTGTTCAAAGCGCCAGGGGCCGAGCGACCTTCGGCAAAGAACTGTTCATCTCGGCGGCGAGAACGCTGTCCTTCGGCGCGGAGAGGACACGGCGAGCGCGGAGAGCCGGCGAAGGACGCCGCCTCCCTCGCCCCGCCCGCGGGGAGCCACGCCCGCCGCCCGGCCGCAACCCCGGACCTCAGCCCGTGCGTCAGCCGTGACGGGGTGGGGGTTTTCGGCCGCGCCCGCCGCCCAACTCAGGCCCCGCCCCCAGGGGCGGGGCGGGAGGGAGCACGGGGCGGGGGGCGCCCAGCACCTTTGGCCGAGTTGCGGGACGCTGAGTGCCAGGGATCCCGGAGGAGGAGCCGCCGCCGTCCGCGCCGCGCCTCAGCCGCCAGCGCGGGGTCGCCGTCGGGGGAGCCGCCAGCACACGGGCCTCGGCTCAGCATGATGGACCTGGAGCTGCCGCCGCCGGGACTGCAGTCCCAGCAGGTGCTGCCGTGGCCCCCGGGCGCTCGCGACGCTGGCAGGGCGGGGGCCGGGGCGCGAGTGGGCCGCGCTGCCCGCACGGACGGCCCGAGCCGGGAGCGCATTGGCCAGGCCCTGCGGCCGCTGAGTGTGTGCGGGAGCCGGGCGGGGGGCGCGGCGAGGACGGTGAAACGGGAAGAGGTGTAGGGGGGCGGCCGGCCGGTCCCGCTGTCACTTGCCTGCGACCCCCGAGGGCGGCTGGGTGGGGGCTGCGGAGGCCGCGGGCGTGGGGGGCTGCGGTAGCGCATCCAGTCGCCAGCCTGAACCCCGAAGCCGGGATGCCCAGCCCCAGCCCCCAGAGTCGGCGCGTCCCCGCGAGCGATGGGGCAGGAGGGGGCGGACGCTAGCGGTCTGAGCCGGCGCGGCCCGGCCCTTTCCGGGGCCTTATAGCTCCCCAGTCCCGGAGCCGGCCGGAATGTGCCTAGTCACGGGGCCGCTCTCGGGGGAGCTGAGGTCTTCTGCGGCCGGCCGAGACCTGCGCCCCCCGCGGCCGGGGCTCCCCGCGGGGCGGCGCGCTCACCCAGCCCCGCCGTCTGCGGGCGCCTCTCCCCCGTAACCCGTGCGTGCGGTCCCGCGCGGAAAGCGATGTTCTAGAAAACCCAGCTCACGGGAGCCAGGGGAGAAAGTCACAGAGACCCCCGGCGGGTTCAGAAGCCTCGACGTGCGGCCGGCCGGCCGGGCTCCATCACTCCTAAAGGGCCAGGCGAAGGGTCGGTGTGGGTGACCCAAAGTTGTCCCCTTGTCACCGCGTTAGAAAGTGCGGACGAGGTCCGGGAACTCAGATGTGAGGACTCGGGTTTGTTTGGAGAGCGGCGCAGCTCCGTGGCCCACGCTTGTGCAGAGCCTCGGCCGCGGGTGACAGCGGCCGGTTGGCTGTCACAGCGGCCCTCAGTTGGCCCTTTCCTGCCTGGTAGCGTGCGAGCCGGTTCGTGCGGGGGCCGAGGGACAAGTTGGAGCTGTGGATCCGTTGCGCAATTGTTATTCCCCCCACCCCCACCCCTCGCGGCCTTGTCTTTGGATTTGGCATGACAGATGTGCAGTTCCAAAATGTGTAAGGCAGGATTTTCTGTTCTATTCTGTCTGTCCGGGGTAAGAGGAGAGCAGAATGTCTATTGTTCTTTGGCTATTGCTAGGTTTTTGTGATTTCTACTGTTATTTCCCCCAAGGGTCCTGTGTAGTTTCTTGTTGGTTTGTTTCAGGATTTGCCCCCTCAGTTCCTTCCCTTGTTCCTCTCCTTTTGTAAGAGCCTGAGGGTGAGACACTTGTGGTTTAGAACGCTTGATAGTAAGTTTTATACATTCTTGTAAAAGTGAAAAAGAAAAGCTTGGTTCACACTTCGCAGGAACTTTTAAAGGAGTACTTTTTGGATTTTTAGGCGTACTAATTGGATTTTTAAGGTAAAATAAAGTTCAATTCGAGGAAAAATGCAACTTCATAGGACGATACATTTGTTTATGCTCTTAAATGTCAGGTTTTAGGCAGATCTCAGATATGTGGTAAAAAGTTTTGTCCTTGTTGTTTCTTTTCTTTTTGGGTCGATTGTGGGGCTTGAACTCTGCCTAGGCGCTGCCCCTCAGCTTTTTTGCTTAAGGCTAGCGCTTGACCACTGTGAGCCTCTGTGTCACTTCCAGCTTCATGGTTAATTGGTAATAAGAGTCTCACTGACTTTCCTCCTCAGACTGGCTTTGAGCCGTGATCCTCAGATCTCAGCCTCCTAAGTAGCTAGGATTGCAGATGTGAGCCATTGAAGCCTAAAGCCGTGGTAAGGTTTTAAGTTACTGACAGTGCATTAAGTATACCTTTTTTCCTCCTCGAAGTTATTTATATTAAACATGGTCCCAGAAACAATTAAGATTTTATTCTCTTGATTCTCATTAGTATAAAGAAGAAAATTAGTACTTTTTGATTGTCTGCTATTCATTAGCAATCTATAGGAATGCTTATTTGGCTGAACTTCAGTTTTTAAGTTTTTCTCTGTTCATAGAACAGCATATCATATACAGAAATGCATAAAATATGTACTGATTTCTCTTACATGTGAATTTTTCCATTCATAAGGCATTTCCACCTTTGAAATCAGACAGGAAGGCTGGGAATGTGGCTTAGTGGTAGAGTGCTTGTCTAGCATGCATGAAGCCCTGGGTTTGATTCCTCAGTACCATTAACAACAACAAAAGCTAGAAGTGGCACTGTGGCTCAAGAGGTAGAGTGCTAACCTTGAGCAAAAGAAGCTCAGAGACAGTGCCCAGGTCCTGAGTTCAACCCTCAGGACTGGCAAAAAAAAAAAAAAAATGACATCAGTGTACATATTTGGAGAGTAGGAAAAGTTAAATGTAGAATCAGCTTCATGTCTATTAAAAATCAAGTTTGTAGTCCAGAAGGAATTGAACAGAGCTGAAAGTTTTAACCAAAAGTTAGAGAAACTCCAAAGTGGCGTGGTTCTAATACATAACTTTTCACTCTGAAGATGGTAAGAGGAGGAGAGGTATAGTGTGGGAATATAATAGAGGGGGATGAACTTGTGTCAAGTACACTGTACTCATCTATAGAATTATTAATATATGCTAATTTAAATTTTGTTAAGAAAAGAGAATGTTGTTAAGCAACACAATAAGGAAACCCAAAGATTTTGTGTCTCCATTAGATAGAACTGTTACTTTCTGAGAGATGTCTTGGAGAGATTCAAGTACTTTGGAAGATAAAGGATGAAGCTGATTTTGGACTAATGAGATTATTTTTAAAAGTTAGACAAAGAGAAAAGCTTATCTTCAGAATGAATATTAAGCAAAGAACAACTTGTTTTAAATGTGGAAAATCTCTTGAGGCATTGTGGGGGTTAAATGCACTATTCTTACCAGTCTTTCTGCCTTAAAAATAGGACCATTTTGAAGCATCTTTCTTGTTAACCTGGGTCCTTAAAAACAAAGTTATCAAGCAACCCTTCTTTCTTTAGGATTACTAGGAAGAGTTGAAAGCCAAATACATTGTTTTTGGTAATGTTTATTTATTTATTTAGTTTGTTAGTTAGTTTGTTTGTTTTGGGTCTGGTCGTGGGACCTGAGCTCTTGGCCAAGGCGCTGTCCCTCAGCTCTTCAGCTCAAGGCTACCGCTCTACCACTTGAGCCACAGTGCCACTTCCGGCTTTTTTTTTCTGCCTATGTGGTGCTGAGGAATTGAACCCAGGGCCTCATGCATGCAAGGCAAGCGCTCTACCACTGAGCCACCTTCCCAGCCTCGGTAATATTTATTTTTATTTGAGATTAATTATACTTAACAAAGCTGCATGAGAAAAGAAGCCCTTATGGATTACAGGCCACTTTTTTTCCCCCCTAGATTTGTCCTCTGACTTGACTGAAGGCATTTATAGGGGATTTTGCATAAATACTTCATCTTTAATTTTTCCTGAACCCAGGTTAACTTTTCAGCAGACAAGAAGAATTTGGCACCAAGATAATAGATAAGTTATTGGGTATTTCTCTACATGCCAGGCAATATAATTTTCTCATGCATAATTTCACAGTATCCATACAGGAAATACTATTGTCTCAGGTTTCCAGGTTAGGAAGGAGGCACAAAAAGAGAAGGCCAAGAATCTTCAAGCTTCTTGACCCAGTTGTTGAGTTGTTGAGTGGACCCAGAGTAGTTAGAGTTTAAGCAGGTGTAAAAGCTCTCCCTTTATAAGTGAATAGACTGAGGAAAAATTGAAAGGCAGGAATGAAAAAAATGCATGTCTATACCTTTTCCACTTAGCAGAACTATTAATAATAACTATGAGAGGAGGAAGGTGGACCCTGTTAATTATAGTGAGTGGGAATAAAACCACCATGTACTTGCTTCCTGTATTTCTCAAAAAGAAATAGACATAGGTGAATTTTATCTAGGTAGGCAGGACTATTTCTTAATACAACAGTCATTTTTAAAATTCCAGGATTTCAGTGGTGGTTTTCTAACTTACATTTGCCAGTGACTGTGTTCTTCTATTGAATCTCTTAGCTACTAGAGCCTTTGCTTTTATTTGCCTTGTTAGTTGGTACATTCTCCAGTTCCACTGACTTTTTGTTGTTGTTGTTGTTGGTCGTGGGACTTGAACTCTGAGCCTGGGTGCTGTCCCTCAGCTCTTTAGCTCAAGGCTAGTGCTCTACCACATGAACTACAGTGCCACTTCCGGTTTTCTGGTGGTTTATTGGACATAAGAGTTTCACGGACGGACTTTCCTGCCCCAGCTGGCTTTGAACCGTGATCCTCAGATCTCAGCCTCTCGAGTAGCTAGGATTGCAGGCATGAACCACCACCCAGCCTCCACTGCCTTTTTTATGTTTAAGTATTTTTATGTTGAAGTAGTTACCCAAATTAAGTTTTGGCTCAAGTGGTAGAATGCCTGCCTAGTAAATATTAGGCTCATTACCAAAAAAAGTTTTATAGTGAGGATATGTTGAACAGTGGTATTGACTGCTAGGGTTAAACTCCTTTGAAGGAAAGTAGGTAGAACAGAGGGGGATTTGACTTGAAAACAGCTAGCAGAAACCAGTTGGCTCAAATTAAATACTAATTCTGTTTTGGCACTTCTGAATTGGAGCAAGCATAAGGACTCAAGTCTATCTGGTTGAAGTTTACTTAGTACTTTGAGAGTAGTACATTTCAAAATCATTTTACAGTGTTTATTTTTTAATTGTTTTAGAAATTATTGTCTGATTTTTCTGAATTAAATGTGCTATAGGACTTTGATCAACAAATATTACTGCAATTTTATTGCTACTTGCTTTTAAATAAGTGCCAACAAACATTGAAAAGACTTTAAACTTATAGGCCAGCACTTCTGCAGTTATTACTGATATGTTTCCTGGAAATGAAAAGTTAAAAATTGCCAAGTATCAGTTCATGCCTAAATCCTAGTTACTCAGGAGGCTGAATCTAGGGATTATGATTCAAAGTCAACTGTGGGCAGGAATATCTATGAGATTCTT